GCGGTTGTCAACAACCTCAATGTCCGAAACGCTAGGTTGATCGCTTACAGAAACGCTAGGTTGATCTTTTATTATAGTTACAGATTCATCGAGCGTACAAGATTCATTCAGTAAAAATGGACCGCTGGTGTGGGAGGTATTTTTGTTAGGGTCGGTTGACTGATCTTTATCAATGATCTCAGGATCATTAGAGATGGTAATTTTCATACTGTTTTGGGGATTGTTGAACTTATAATTATTATTCATTACATTGAATAATAATTATACATGAACTCTCAAGAGACAGTAAGCTTGACGTGAGGAATAAATTTTCTTCGCTAAGTTTACAAATCGCGTCGTCTTGCTTGCGAATAACGGATTCAAAATCTTTTTGCTTAGATCGCATAGAGTTAACTTCCGATAACAGATTGCTTGTAATATCTACCAAACTTGCAAAATCCGCTTTCAGGTTCGCAAACTGCGACACAGATAGTTCATCAATACTGACACAAACATCCGGCACCGATGGACAAATTACATCTGTAGCTTCGTGTGAAATGTTTACATTGCTCGGGCCCTAATCAATCAGACTTTCAAGCTTCGACTTTAGGTTTTCCTCGGCATTGTCACTCTGTATAATCAGCCTTTTTGAACGAAGACCATGCCATTTGATGACAAATTCCCCTTCTCCATCGCTTCTGAAAACTTTGACGTCTCCTCCAGGAGATTTCCACCTGCCTTTTATATTTAATGCTTCGTTGATAAAACACTTTAGGTCTTCAAAAGTTTTAAGCCATCGGTATGTCTCACCATCATATGTTAGACCACTGAGGTCGTTCATAGTTGATTGAACGACGTTATATTGTGAGTCTGTAAATATATTCACGTAATATATTGACGAGAGCTTATTTGGAAATTAAAACTATTAATAATTTTAACGTAACCAGTTTAAAATGGTTAAAATCAGATAAAATTTGTAAAATTTTGCAGAGCTTAAAATTTAGCACCCGCCATGATGATAATTTAGCACCCGCCATTGATAACCTCTGATGAGAAAGAATCAACGCTGAAAGATGGGTTCGAATTGGTCAAAAAGTGTCTTCCGGAAGATGCTCTCTATGGTCGTGGATGTGATGAAGGCCCAGCAGTTATTATGACAGATAACTGTGATGAAGAACGAAGAGTACTGCAGTTTGTGTGGCCTTCGTGACACTTTTGCTCTGTACATTTCATATCCTAAAACAAGTCTGGAGGTGGCTTCTCGACAAGAATCACCAGATCAATCAGTCGGATAGACCAATGATACTAAGTATGTTTAAACAAGCATTGTATGCCAAATCAGAAGATGAATTTGAAAGTTGTTATAACGAACTATTAAATGATGCATGTGAACGTGAATAATATCTTTGACAACCAGAAATTGTGACTCCACAAAGTTATTTGTCTGATTTCCTCTTAATAAGCGGTAACAAAATGCAAAGTCCTTGCGATCTTCATACAACTTCTCAAAGTACCTGACTGCGAACAAAGGAGTATAATGTTGTGGCGTTGTTCATGAAGCTAACTACAGAATTAGAAAACCACTATAAAGAGAAGCTGCTCTCAAAAGCAGATGGCAGTTTTGATGGTCATTTCTGGAGACGATACATGGGAAAAGGAAAAACCAAGAATGATGTTCAAGGCTACAAACAACCAAACAAGAAAGAGAAAGAAACATTTTTACAAAATGTGAAGAAGTTTGCAAATGATGTTTTCCAAGTTGCCAGCCTAACAGATAGTAACCGAAGGTAAGCATACTAGCAAATTGAATTTTTAATGATTGCCGCCATACCACTGATTTGCAATACTAAGGCATTCACCCACTGAATGTCTGATATTTTGAATGTTTTCAGGGAATTAATTCCTTTTATAAGTCCACTGTAGGACCATGGCAGCAGTTACGTATAATATAACTTAAAAGTAATCAGACTTCTATATTAAAAGTTCATTCTCTTCTCTCAAATGCTCCCTACCCCCCCCCCCTGCCCGCCCGCACCTTAATACTCCCATCTCTATTGAACCACACTCTCTATTAACTAGGCTATGGAGAGTGTACCAGTACTGTACCTCAATAGAGAGGGTAGGTATAGGCACATCATAGCAAATAACTAACTGGTATTTCTTTAGTTTTGCTGACTAGGGCAGGGTCACCACAACAGCATATGTCAAATACTGTGTGCCCTTTTACCTAACCCACTCTGTCAACTTTCCCTGTCGGAGGAAATCAGGTACCCAGAGAAAGCCCACAACTTTCGGCAGGGCGTTGACTTTTTGCTCTTTTCGCACGAGGACTGGGTTCGAGTCGCATGAGAAAGTTCTCACAGAGATTTGAACCTACGACCTTAGAGGTGCAAGGCAAGTGCGCTAACCACTTCGCCTCCGAAGCCCCATATTAACATCTTGGAAACTTACAATGTGTGCCACAGGAATTTGCACATTATGTTTGCCTGGGTATTATTAACTTTCATCTTTATTTTTGTTAACAGTTACATGGTGGAGATGTCAATGGGGGTCTGTACTTGTGATTGGGGGAAGGATGATTCTCCATGCAAGCACCAATATCTGAATTGGGTAACCAAGCAAGCAAATTTTTTAAATTTTCTACCTGTTGCCTGTCCAGAATTACGGCAAACCATTGCTGTAGTTGCACTGGGTGAAGCAGTTCCAATGTCGAAGTATACATCTCTAAGAGATTCTGATCCAAGTGTTCCTTTGTCAGCATATGGGCCTGAAGTGGGTGAAGAGTTTACGATGAAGGAAACATCCACCTCTTTTCCAGAACAGGTATATTAATATATTATTGCCTTAGAATAATACTGTAGTTACACTTACAGTATGAATATACTCAATATTTGATAAAATGCTGCTTTGATATTTGCCTTTATCTTCCATATCAATACATATATTCAGGGTTCGAGATTATCAATATCCTAGTACCCAAGATTTCAAACTGGTATCGTCAGGATAACAGATGTCAAAACCTCGGTATCCCATTTGGATACCCAAGAGGTTCTTGCCTGAGCCACTTTCGTTTCTGCATGTTTATTCAAGATAATTACAAGCATTAGATAATTGTTCTGACACCGTCGCTAATGCTGCAGTTAAAAGTCATTCAGTAGTGGGACGCCTCTTACATTTAGTGACGTTTTGAGATCATGGCAACAGGCAACTAAATAGTATAAAGATTGGAAGCATGTATTCCTAGTTTGAGAATTTGAATGTCAGATTTTCAGTTTGGATCTCCAGAGATACTGGTATCCAAAATGCATTCCAGAAAAAATTCTACTCTCAAACCAACCGTGCCATA